AAAGGAACGCCCATGGGATCGCGCATCTCAGGAGTTATTGCGGAAGCTATGATGCAAAAAACTAGAGAGTATCACAATGCCGTTAATCAAACCAAAATTATGGATCCGGTACCTGGACGCCACGTTTGTCATCATCAAACAAGATTCCATACAGAATACCCATCAGTTAACCAGCATCACATTCCAGGATAGCAAGTTTAAAACTGAACTCAAAAAAGACAACCAGTTACCAGTCTTAAATGTACTGGTCTAAAGAAAGACAGACGGAACACTTCAAAATTGTGTATATCGAAAGAAGACCCACACAGACCAACGTACATTGCTTCTATATCGCAAATAAATAAATATTTTCTTTTCGAATTCATCGAGGCACACCACTCAGGCATGAACTTGTAGTCTTTTTCCAGGTTCTGTTTGACTCCAATACACTCCCATCTGAGTGGAATAATGGAATCATCACTCCGATATACAAAGGAGGTAATGGATCGGATCCTGCCAACTACCGACCTATTCCTCTCCTACCTGTTTCATCAAAAGTGATGGAATCGATAATCGCAGATGAACTGACGTGATATTTTGAAAGTCGATAACTAATTTCCAATGTCCAACATGGTTTCAGACGCAGACGATCTTGTCTCACCAATCTGCTGCTTGCCCGGGATTCATGGACCAGAGCAGCCAATGAAGGAGACCCCATAGATGTGGCTTACTTACATTTTTCTAAGGCAATCGACAGGGTCAATCACCGGTCTCCTCCGCAAGCTTGATGCATATGGTATCAACGGTTCCCTGCTCACCTGGTTGGAAGATTACCTACAGGATGAAACTATCAAGGTAAGAATATCCGACACTCACTACGAAAGCCTGTACTTATTCAGTGGTGTACTGCAAGGATCCGTCCTCGGCTCGCTACTGTTTTTAGTTAACATAAATGTCCTCCCAGAAAACATGTTATCCCCGATGCAGATATTCGCAGATGATGCCACAATATGAATAGCAATTCGCTCGTGCCTATCTTCAGAACGATCTGGATCAGCTTAACGAGTGGGTAAAAAGGTACCGGCTCCAACTGAACCCTGTAAAGTTCCACCCGCTGACGGTGCATAGCAGCTTCAGCGACAAATGTTCTGAGACAGCACGGTTTGAAACAGGTGACTATTGAACGGAACTTAAGTATCATCGTTCAAATATGTCTTGGAAATTCGCTCTGATGCTGGAAAGCAGCGAAAGTGGCGAACTTGGACTTGACGCTATTGAGACGAGCTAGCGGCACCTTTGAACCACGGCTAGTACTACTGTTCATCAACGCATATCTCCGTCCGCACGTTAAATATGCGGTTCAAACCTGGCGCCCATAGTTAAAACAAGATATTTGTCCCTTGGAGCAATGCTAAAGAAGAGCCATTAAGGCAACAGGTGGTCGATTGACAGTAGGGCGAGCAGGAGTGAGGTCGGTTGAGGCTGTAGGTTCCGCTGGAGCAGCGTGACTGGTCTGAGGTGGCGATACTGGCCGTGATGACACAGGCTGAAGTGCTTGTTGGACAGTGGAGTCAAAACTGTCGAAGAATGAGGGCTTGAGTCGGTCGATGTTGCTGTTCTCAGTTTTACCATTGTAGTCAGTGGTAAATGTCTTGCCTCTTTTGTGTTCAATACGGTACGGACCAGAATAGGGAGGTTGGAGTGGCCGGCGTACGCTGTCAGTGCGAACGAACACGTGCGTGCAAGTGGTTAGGCGTTCGTCCACGTTTGTACGCAAGCTCTGTGCTTTGGGTTGCACAGGCCGAATTTGTCTCGTGATGAGATTGGCGAGCTGCGTAGTCACCATAGTCGAAACTTGTTGGCGCTTTTGGTGAGACAACTTCACCAGGTAAGCGTTGCGTGCAGCCAAAGACTAGCGAAGATGGAGTGGCGTGCAAATCCGCTTTAGTCGTGTTTCTTATGCCTAAGAGAACGAGCGGAAGTGCTTCGTGTCAGGATGTGTTAGACTGGGCACAGAATGATGCTTTGACCTACCAGTGGGACGTTTCCACCGTGCCATTAGATGCGGGTTGGTGTCTGGCGATGCTGTTGTGTTGGCAACCAAGTATGCTGGGCAATTTGCTGAAGGCTCCTTCAAAGTGTGTCCATCTGTCGGTGATGACTACGCGTGGGCAACCAACATGAGCTACCTAACGTTCTGAAAAAGCTCGTTCAACTGTCTCAGATGAGCAGTCGACAATCGGAATCGCATATGGCCAACGTGTAAATCTGTCGACACAGGTGATGAGGTACACATAGCAATTCGTTTCCGCTGGACCAAGCGTTGCTCGCGAATCTCAGTGGCATAGTGCTTATGGCGTCAACCATGAGCCACTAGGCTCTGATTTCCAGCCCAACTCAGGCTATCTCCAACTGATGAGTCCCAACCAAGACGAAACCGCGGTCTTGGGGTGCCGGTGTTTGGATGAGCAACACCATAATGCAGGTACACGTAGCCGTTGCATGGGGGCAATGGTTCGACCAGGTCGACATGCACGTATGCAAAACGAGAGTCAGGAGCGGGAAAGACACCATGTTGGCTTTTGGTATGTCTGTATACCTTGGCGCTTCAATGCGGATACCGAAACAACTCTTATACGGTCAGCTGAGTATTGGGAAGCGGCGTGTGGGGAAACTAAAGTTACGTTACTAGGACATGATCAAACTGAGCCTCTCACGTTCTAGTCGTGATTGCCGGTCATGGGAATCGAAGGCGGTTGATCGGCGTGCACAGCGCGATGTAATCACGAAGGCAGTTGCCGAAGTGCGGGAGAATGACCTCATACACGCAGAGAAGAAGCGGCAAGTACCGATGGGTTGTACTCCATCGACATCGAGCGCATGGTGTCTTAGCACATGTGGTCGCGAGTGCCTGAATCAGGCAGGTCTAGCGAGCCATGAGCTAGGTCACTCTGGACCACTACCGAAGCGACGATGGGTCCAGCAGAGAAAGCAGGCAGAACGGGCGTAGCGTTTGTAGGTACACTGCATTCGATTTACTAACCGCGTGTTCGCATGCTAAGTCTATTTATTTCAGGTGGTGGGTTTTCAGTTTTGTCCTAATGCTTTTCTTTATCAGATGAATGTCTACCTGTACTCTCTTCTATAAACTTGCACACGTCGCTTAAGCCAATTGTAATTAATTTCGACAGCATTTTCGTGTTTGTGGCATTTCCGTAAAATATACTTTCCGACCACGTGAACTTATCACAGATTCGTTCGTAAACAACTTACTTCAAATGCTCATTAATTTAAGATTTGTCACCGTTTCCTTATGCATTACTCGATTTATTTGCTTTGTTGTCTTTCGCTCAAGTGATTGGCTGTTGCGTGACATCCCCGGGGTGGCTGCGTTTGATGTGCATGTTGACAAGGTACCTACCTGTCTATTACCCACTACATCGTCCATACTGGCTCCAGGAGACAGTTGGTCGTTGCTGGAGGGGACGGGGTGTACGGTCCTTGTGGCCGTGCTAGGCTCAAAGAGTGGTTCCATGCACTCAGTGTGGAGCGGACTACGGTCCAGCTACCGCCTTGTGTGCGCTTGATTCCCCAAATACAGCGTGCTTGTGTTTGGCCTGTGAAGGAGTGTGGGCCGGCTGCCGTTGATGAAACGTGGCTCCCATCCACATGCCTCCCGGTCTTATTCCTTCGGGTTTACACTGGATATGGGGTGTGTGGATGGAGCTGTGGGTGGTGCAGCGCAAGCCACCCATGGTCCCTCTGTAGGCGCAGGCGTCCTGTGTCTGGCCACAGTGACAGGCAAATCCGAAACCGGATGCCGCCAACTATACCTTGGAGCGCTGACACTAAGCACGCGCCAGCCGAAATGAGGACATTGAGATTGATGTTGGGCTGGACGAAGCGTTCGGTTACGAGCGTCTGCGAAGCACGTATGCCGGGATGCGATAGGTTGAGTAAAGCGTTGACAACTAGTCGGCGCATTATCGTAGGAACTAAGGAGCGGGGAGAGGTTAGTGAGACGTCACAAAGAATGGTTCTCTCAGATGATGCTAGTGGAACTTCGCGTAGTTTCAAAGACGTGCTGCGTCGAATCCTGTCGTATCGGAATCAGGTTGTTGAGCGGCAGCCATGGCAGCTAGATCGATGTTGAATCCAGGTGCCAAGCTGATCAGCTGCTAGCCTGCAGCCTGTTTTAGACGGTATTTGCAACCAGAAAGATGCATTCAAGGTATATTTCAAGGCTGAAATGTAAAAGATTTTTCTGAGCGACCAAAATTCGTCGCAAATGTGTCTCACTGGGATGGTCAAGTGCATGAAAAACGGCTACTCAAGACGCTCCAACGGTTGCACCGGCAGACATTTTCGGTCACTGATGTTATACGGGTGGCCAGCTCAAGAGTCACCACTATACTTTTTCTCAGCCACAAACATTTCAAATTCCTCCTTAAGGAAATCATGTTTCTCTTTAAATCTCTCAAGATGTTCTTTTATATTATAAAATTACATTCATGGGGCGCAAACACTTTTAGAAATGTGTACTTTTCGGTGAGCAACCTATGCCAAATCAGCCCACAGTATGACAAAGTGGATGTCATTAGTTGATTTGGGATTGGTCCCACAGGGAACAGTAGTACAGTCATTTGCGCCCGGTGGATGCAACTTAACAGCGTCAACAATCATCTTGAGAGATCTATGCAGGAATATGATTTCCTTAAGGAGGAATCTGAAAGCGTGCTAGATGCAATAGACTGAGAGAAGGTATAAAACACCCGAGTGGAACACATGTGGAACAGACGGCATGTCGTTCACCATCATTGGCTTCACGTGTGTGTTTTGGCAGGCATGCCTCTTACGATCGATCCGGCGACACAACTGCGCAGCAACGCGATGGCCCACCTAGTGCATATTGGTCAGTGGGTGAGCACCACAGCACCAGACCTTGAGTTCAACCAATCAGAAAGGGATCAAAGTACTGTGTGCACTTTAACGTGATGGCCAGTATGAGTCTTGAGCAAAGCTGCTATTTACGGCCCGGTATCCGTAGCCATGAGTATGCAGGTGGACCTCAGACGCCGGGATCCAAGTGTTCAATGGGGCTTTAGTCTCCAAGGTGGAACTGATTTGGACACCCCACTGATGATCTCTTCCGTCACTCCGGGTAGTTTAGCAGCGACACATGGAGTACAGGTCGGTGCAAAGGTGATTGCCATCGGCGGGGATGTCACTAGTTCCATGACTCGTCAGCAGGCACAGCAGGCCGTAATACGCTGCTGCAACGAGCTCCAACTTGAATTAGAAAATCCCGCGGACGGTCAGGCCTCTGAGTATCCTCGGCAAGCGTTGACGAACAATAATCCTGTAAGTGGGCAGGAAACAGCGCCAGCTGAGGTTTTTCCGAAGCACAGCCCCACAGCGTCAACATTTCACACAAACCCATCACCAATGGAACATAGACTTTACGCACCCGCACCATATATTGGACTAAGCAATCCAGGCCCCACACGTGTGCCGGTTCGCAACACAAATGAAGCCGTCATAACATCCGGTCGTCCCTCCTATGTGCCACCACAAAGAGACTCCATGAATCGTAGCTCACCTTTCACTCTACCTGGTCCTGTTCCTTTTGCTCCGTTCTACACTCCGAGGCCGGGCGCAACAACGACTGAACCACCTCAACACTCATTCACAGCCACTACGAACACCGCTTCCTCACCCGGCACATCCTGGTGGCAAGGCGGTGCACGTTCTCAACCAGCAGGCGCGCGGCCACTCCCAACGTGTCAGAAATGCGGGCGGGAACTGACCGGTCCCTTCGTTAACGTTTCGGAACGGTACTTTTGCCCTGAACATTTCGTGTGTGCCCAATGTAACGTTCCGCTTAGTGGTCAGAAATATGGAGAGGAACGCGGCCACTTCTATTGTGAACGTGATTTCTTGCAATTTGTCGTTCCCCGATGCGCCAAGTGCAACAAACCCATCACCGGAAAGGTACTTCAAGCGTTGGACAAGTGTTGGCATCCGTTATGCTTTGTTTGCGCGCAGTGCGGACAGCCGTTGAACACATTCCGCTTAGAAGAGGACGGTCGTGTTTTGTGCCAAGACGATTGGTCGCGGGCGCATTCGACTGTATGTGGGAAGTGTGGACAATCCATCTCAGAAATTGATCAGTATGTGGAATGGCAAGACCAACAGTTTCACTCCGGATGCTTTTGTTGTGCCACATGTCAAACTCCATTGGCAGGGAGACAGTTCCACCGTAAAGACAACAAACCATTTTGTTCATCACACGCCTATCCGGAAGCAACATCCCGTTGAAGCTAATCGACGCTTACCTCTGCAACTTTAACATTCGAGTGCAACGATTGCATGGATAATGGCTCAATCATCACCGTAAGACCTTATTTCTTTTATCCCTAAAATACAAATTATACCATAAATTCACATCTCTGGTTGCCATGGAGCTTATGCTCAACGATTAGTTTTCTTGAATTCTCCGACTTAATGATCAGCTTGTAACGTCCCAACCCATTTATAGATTGCAGAAGCTGGTCGGAGCTTGCACGCGCCTCTGAACAGAATGTACTGGATAGTGAGTTTCCTTCACGCTACCCTGCTGTGAGGCAGAACCTGAAAAGATTCCCTACGATACATCTGGTCGGTACTTGTGTGCCGTTATGTCATGGATGCGCTAACGATCCAGAGAATAAAATTTCATTGAACGCGAGTGGGCACGGTAATTGATTTGTTCATGTAGTTCTGCTTACGTAAGAGCTTATACTTTGTGGATGGCTTCAGGGGAAACAACTAGCTCTGATAAACGCTTCACCTTGCTCTCTACACAGTTATGCCAGGTACCAAATTATCTGTATAACACAGTACACTAGTGGAACCTTCGAAAGTGTTCCTGTAGCATGGGAAGCATGGTAATAATAGACACCGTTTGTGTCACTTGTGAGTCGGAGCACGGGATGTGAACCAACTTCCATGTATGGTGACTTAGTGTATGCCAGAAGACCAGTACATGAATGTGTGTCTCAAAAAAGTGCGGACTCAAAATGCGTTAGTGAACAACTGGCTCCACCTAGTGAATTCTTCGGAGCCCATCACCCAAAGGGAATTTTGTTGAGCACCTTCTCGGTTTCCTTTAAAAGCAGATATCAACCACATAGCGGTCTAGACAAAGCCGAACAGACGTAGTGGCTACGATGGGCTTGAAGCGAACCTAGCGCTTCACAATACTTTGCTCGCCAGGAGATCAATTCAGAGCCTATGCGAGTGGCAACCACTGTGTTCAGTGCTCGAAACTGTTCTGTAAAGACCATTCTGGGAGGCAACTAAAGTGGTCATCTTTATAATTGCGTAAGCGCAGATGTCTCGAATAACAGGACTGGAACTCGTTATGCTTAAATCGAAAAGGAGCTTCTAATACCGTGTTAAGACTCATTGTCGAACGGTTATAAGAAGTTGGTGGTGCTGCCACAGTGAATACATTCCATAAAAGATTCTGTCACTTTAGCTTGCCTAGATTCGGCAATATTCGAGAGATAATTGTAACGTGTACTTTCTTAATGATACTAGAAGCAATTGTTATGTCTTACACGGAATTGGTAGAGTAGGAGAATAGATGGCAGTTCCTATTGTCCTTGACGTAACCAAATTCTTTCCGAACGGAAACGGCAGCAGTCTGGAAACCATTAAACCTGGTTCCAGATAGATTCGACGAGGAACTCTCCGTTACTAATAATAGTAATAAAGTTGAGTGTATGTCGCTAACTCCTGGGGCGCTGTGCATGCATTGGGGCAAACCAAGCTTTACAGAAATTTTACCGTTCATAATGAAATAATATTTCACAGACGAATTATAAGTAGCATGAATGTCACATGGGCTAAGGAAAACAAATTGCTGGGATCAATAGAGGCGAGTGCAGGTGGTTCGATGTCTAGTGTTCAGGCTACACTCGGTTGAATATACCGCATAAATGTGAGGAAAGACAATGAGTGAGTTAGTAGATTATGTTTATTGTGCATTCAAACAATCCAACTTTATTGGCAGAGTACGAGAGAGATTCAGAAAGGTTTTCAGAAATGACTTACTTCTCAGCAATGTTAAAGACATAACGTAATAATCACATGCTGCGATATATTATATATTTAAGCATGCAGGTCATCAATAGATCTTCAGGAAAGGAAGTATAATGACAATACAGACTTGAGGTGGCTTAGAGGTAGAGGCTTCTGCGGAGGGCCCAAAAGCCCCTGGTTCCAGTCTCCGCTATCTCTACCTGATCACAGTATACAAGTTCGGGACCGGTCAGTGAATGCAGTGTTTTAGGGCGAGCAGCATCCAAATCCATCCGTGTTGAATCAGAGATTATTCACACTAAACTGTAGTGGAAGCTGGGTAGTGATTCTCAGCATCGTTGGCGCGTGTACTCCTTAACAATACATCTTCAATCATTACGCACAATGAAAACTGAAAGTAAGGGACTAGACATCATCATCATCATCATCAACAGCAGTACATCAGCCATTTGAACTGATGCTTCGCTGCCATACAACCATGAGGACCTATGAAATAAAGAATAAGAAGAGGGAGAGAAGGGGGACTTACCTGAAAACCTTAATGCCCTAAGCAAACATTCAGGGTCAAGGCGCCTACACCTTGTGTAGACAACATTCCGTCACAAACATCTGTCTATCGTGCAAAGATAAGGCGGCATCGGCGAGACAGCTTCCTTGCGGCTTTCACTGCCACGCGTCATAATCAGCCATTACCCCGCAGATAACTCAGCACCAAACACACTCTAAACAGACAATCCGATTAGGAGACGGCAACAGACGCGCCACTGGTGTCGGTTGCAAGCCATGTCCTGTAAAGTCTCGAGCCGAGCACAAGGTGGGTCACGTGGACTTCAACCCGGAAGGCGAGACGGACCAACGGCACCCAGTTTGGTCGTCAGTGACTTCATTTCCCGCTGCCAAGTCAACTTCTGTCCACCTCGAGCCTTGCGCCATCCGACACCTGGTAGACTAAACAAGACCGTCCTAGGTAAGCGGTGACCAGGCATGCGTAGCCCGTGCCCGAGCCAACGTAACTTATTCAGTGCTATCTGTTGTTCTAGGGAGCTAGCATGATTATCACTACCTAGTACTCGCCTACGCACATCATCGTTGCGGACACGCTGGTGCCATCCGACACCAGCAATGCTTCGCAAACATCGATGATCAAAGACTTGAAGGCGCCTCAGATCTTCAGACCGAAGGGGCCAATTTTCACTACCATAGAGCAGAACGGCCCTCACTGTGGCCTTGTATACACGGCCTTTCAGACGGAGGGAAACTCCCTTCTGTCGCCAAAGATGACGTAGGTTCAAGAAGGCAGCTCTAGCCTTTGCAATGCGTGAGCTCACGTCAGTTTCTATGCGCCCATCATTGCTGATGCAGCTGCCAAGATAAGTGAATTGATCAACCACCTCGAGTTCCTCGTTAGCAAGCGTCAAGGGGTCATCAAGTGGCTGGTGGTCCTGCAGCAACACTTTGCACTTTGAAGGTGCGAAGTGCATACCAAATAATGGAACCACTCTGGATAGCCTATTCAGGGTTGATTGTGCCGCCTCAACATTGTCGAAAAGCAAGACGATATCGTCTGCATAATCTAGATCAACTAACCGTTCACCAGGCAGCACTTCAACGCCTACATCGTGAGATTCCGCAAGGGAACACTGCATGATAGAATCCACGACGAAATTGAACAAAAACGGGGAAATCGGGCAACCCTGACGAACGCCACTTGTAGCCGAAAAGCCATCCGATAGGGCACCATAGACCCTGACGCGGCCTCTAGTGTTCGAGTATAGAGCACGAAGGATGTTCACATATTTCGTGGGAACACCTTTCCGCGCAAGTATTTCGAACAGAATCGATCGATCGACCGAATCGAATCGAACGCACTCTTGAAATCGAGGAACACAGCTATTGTCGGCCTGCCGTATGCGTGGTGCTGCTCTAGCACCTGCCGCAAAGTGAATATATGGTCTATACAGCCACATCCTGGGCGAAAACCGGCCTGCTCTTCTCTAATCCGAGATTCCCGTTCTGCAGTGAGGCGACGAACGATAATCGAGGCCAGTAATTTTGTCACAACTGGCGTTAGGCTAATACCCCTGTGGTTCGCACAGTCTGTGCGACTGCCCTTCTTGTATATTGCCACTACAATCGATTCGCTCCAATTAACCGGCACACTCTCTTCGTTCCAGATAGGTTCGAAAAGGGAGGTCAGTGCTTTGCAGAGGACCTCACCTCCATCCTTAAATAGTGCAGGTGGGAGGGAATCCGGGCCAGCGGCACGAAAACGATTGAGGGCTGTGATCGCGTTACGGACCTCGGCCTCCGACGGAGGCTCTAAACTAACCGTCCATGGCTCGTCCTGCATCAGCTGTGTAGGAAGAGGTCCGGGAGCAGGGGGCCAGCTGAACTGATGTTCAAAGTGCTCAACCCAACGAGCCATACGGCACTCCTTATTGTGTATCAGCGCACCCGCGCTGTCCCTGATTGTCTCACTGACGCCTGGTTTTCTCGGACCAGTGGTGCGTATTAGCTGGAAGAGCTTGCGGTAATTGCCTACTGCTCCTGCCTCCTCCATTTCTTGAACCCGACTGGTCCACCAGGCTTCCTTGTCAGCACGTAGACTCCGTTTTAGTTCACGCCTAATAGCCCGTCTGGTCACACTGTGTTCAGAACCAGCCGGGAGGTGCCTTCTAGCTCCCAAAAGGTTCACGGACCTCTCGGATATCCAGTGACTGGTGCGATGACGACTGATAGTGCCACAAGCAGATGCTCCTGCGTCGTGCATAGTGGCCGAGATCCTATTCCACTGAAGTTCAGTATCATTAGGACAAGACAGCGAGAGTTCGCTATGCAGTGCTTCTTGATAGGCTTGCCTGACAGAGGGCTGGGACAACTTCGTTGCCAATCGGGGGAGACGCTTTGTGCGCCTTCCGGTAAAGTTCATGGAGAAACGACAGCGCACCAAGAGGAGCTTGCAACTGCCGCAAAAACTGCTCCCAAGAGGATCTTCGCATATGTGAAGCGGCGCCTAAGACCTACAGCTAGTATCCCAGTGTTAGAAGGCTCAGAAGGACAGCCTCTAACCTCGAGTACTGATCGTGCGTTAGCATTGGCAACGCACTTCGCCTCCGTATTCGCAAGTGACCAGGTGTCTGTAATGAGTTCGACGAGCACAGCTCCAGCCGAACTTAACAGCCTGGACTGCAATATTGAAGATGTACGCAAGATTCTAGCAAATCTTGACGGGACGAAACCTGCTGGGCCAGATGGTATACACCCTCTAATCCTCAAGTCATTATCGACCATAATTGCACCTTCTGTAACTGAACTGTTTAACAGGTCACTATCCACTGGTCTACTACCGGACG